TAATAGGAGAATCTGCTAGTGAAGCACTCGTCATCATCATCTATATAAATGGAATTATCTTTAAAAAATAAGTTTTTACCAAATTAATCCTTTTCTCATCCCTCTTAATAACATGTTTGGATATAATAGGAGAATCTGTTAGGGAAGCACTCTTCATCCTCCTCCTCATCGACGACTATCACTAACGCCCATCTTGAGTCCGATGATCTGTTTGCGGAGTCATTCACACACGATGACAATCAGCTACGCAGGCCTATGAATGCTTTTCTTCTCTTCTGTAAACGACACCGTCAGGTGGTGCGAACCAGGCACCCCTGGCTAGATAACAGGGCTTGTACAAAGATGCTAGCTGATATGTGGGGTGCACTGGATGGAGAGGAGAAGGAGAAATATCTACAACTGGCTAGAGAGGTAAGACATTATTCCCCTCTCCCCTCTCTGTTCCTCCCTCTCTGTTTGCTAGAGAGGTAAGACATTATTCCCCTCTCCCCTCTCTGTCCCTCCCTCTCTGTTTGCTAGAGAGGTAAGGCATTACCCCCCCCCCCTCTCTGTCCCTTCCTCTCTGCTTGCTAGAGAGGTTAGGCATTATCCCCCCCTCTCTGTTCCTCCATCTCTGCTTGCTAGAGTGGTAAGGCATTATTCCCCCCCCCCCCCCCCCCCCCCTCTGTCCCTCCCTCTCTGTTCGCTAGAGAGGTAAGGCATTATTCCCCTCTCCCCTCTGTGTTCGCTAGAGAGGTAAGGCATTATTCCCCCATCTCTGTTCCTCCCTCTCTGCTGGCTAGAGAGTGCATATATATGCATACCCTAAATAACACTGAGTGGGGGGGGGGGGGGGGTGGGATTATACCCCTTTCCCGCTCTCTGTCCCTCCCTCTCTGCCTCTTTCTCCCTCTAAATATCAGGCACAAATCAGTTGTAACACACGACAGAGTCATAGACAATATACTTTCCATGGATCAGCCCTGTATTGTACCTGCTCCTTATTTGACCATTCTAAAGTGCCAAAAAGGCTTATGATCAGGCCAAAGGAATATTTTGTCACAGATTCCATCTTTCTCAAACTAAAATCTATGCTTGCAGGCAACTCCTTGCCTGCCTCACTGTCTCCACTTTGCTCTTAACTTTGCCTCCCTTCTGTTAATCTTATAGTTTTCAAGGATATTTAACCCTTGTCTGAAATTCAAAATGTGTGGGGGATTTGGTGACAATGTAAACAATTATGAAAAATTAAAAATATGTCTTACCAAATTGTGTAAAGGGGTTTTGTAAAACAAAGATGGTTATCAGTTTATTCTTACCAGGGCTCCACACTAACCTTTTTTTGAAGGGGGTCAGAAATAAACTTTTTAGAATCAATATTTATTAGCCTCTATGGAAACAATTCTCAATTTTGGAGTGTTGAAGTACATTTTGGGCACCCAAGTATCAAGCCCTGTCGTCTCACACAATTGTTTTAAAGGCCCACTGCACTACTTATAGCTACTTGCGCCCTCTATATAACAAACAATGCCTAATCGGTGACCATTAGTCCCCCATGATCCTCTTTTTCTTATGTTAATTGAGAGCTGAGTTGATGAGATTACCACCTGTCCAGTGACCTTACAGGGCAGTCTAATCCCTCCTGTAAACTAGTACAGATAAGCTTTAATATTGGATTCTTGTTTTGTGTTTGAATTTGACAGTGTAAGGCAGCCTTCATGAAAGCTCATCCTGGCTATAGATGGAGTGGCCCTCATCGGCATGGCGGGGGGAAGGTGACCAATCCCGGCAAAATCATGACACGCCCTCATGTCACAGGCACAGAGGAAAGCAAGGCTGGTATCACTATTGGTAAACTAGCAGGTTAGTAACTATTGGTAAACTAGCAGGTTAGTAACTATTGGTAAACTAGCAGGTTAGTAACTATTGGTAAACAAGCAGATTAGTAACTATTGGTAAACTAGCAGGTTAGTAACTATTGGTTGAACTAGCAGGTTAGTAACTATTGGTAAACAAGCAGGTTAGTAGCTATTGGTAAACAAGCAGGTTAGTAACTATTGGTAAACAAGCAGGTTAGTAACTTTTGGTTAAACTAGCAGGTTAGTAGATATTGGTAAACTAGCAGGTTAGTAACTATTGGTAAACTAGCAGGTTAGTAACTATTGGTAAACTAGCAGGTTAGTAGCTATTGGTAAACAAGCAGGTTAGTAACTATTGGTAAACAAGCAGGTTAGTAACTTTTGGTTAAACTAGCAGGTTAGTAGATATTGGTAAACTAGCAGGTTAGTAACTATTGGTAAACTAGCAGGTTAGTAACCATTGGTAAACTGGCAGATTAGTAACTATTGGTAAACTAGCAGGTTAGTAACTATTGGTAAACTAGCAGGTTAGTAACTATTGGTAAACTAGCAGGTTAGTAACCATTGGTAAACTGGCAGATTAGTAACTATTGGTAAGCAAGCAGGTTAGTAACTATTGGTAAACCAGCAAGTTAGTAACTATTGGTAAACTGGCAGGTTAGTAAGCATTGTTAAACTGGCAGGTTAGTAACTATTGGTAAACCAGCAAGTTAGTAACTATTGGTAAACTGGCAGGTTAGTAAGCATTGTTAAACTGGCAGGTTAGTAACCATTGGTAAACGGGCAGGATAGTCACCATTGGTAAGCTAGCAGGTTAGTAACTATTGGTAAACTAGCATGTTAGTAACTATTGGTAAACTAGTAGTTAGTAACTGGTGGTCAATCAATAGATTAGTTATTATCAGTCAATCAGGGGTAAATAACTATTAGTAGTAAACTAGCAGCTATTTAGTGACTAATGGTAAAGTAGCAGTTTAATGACTCTTGATAAATGAGCAAATTAGAAACTATGGATAAGTTAACTGGTTTGTATCTTTTGGGAAGCTAGCTGTTTAGTAGTAATTGAAACGTCTCTTTGTTGGGTTTGGACTCTGATTTATTCTACACTAGGTGAAGAGAATTATGGAGAGAACATCTGGATCACAACCCCCCCCCCCCCTTTACTAGCCATCTTATATCAGATATGGTTTATCCTTCTCTCAAAGTTGATCCATTATATTTAAAACCTTTATTTTTCTTTCAGATCCATCTCAGATGGGAGGTTTAAGTCTTCTATTACTAGCAGGCCAGCAAGACACTGGCAAAAAACGTCTAGCTCCCTCTCATGACCAACACAAGACAGTGCGTAGAAGTAATTCTGAGCCAGCAGCTAATGATGAAGAAGAAGAAGAAGATGATGACAGCATTAAATCAAAATTATTCCAGTTTGCAGAGGTTAGTTGGCTCTCATGGTTTGAGTCTAAATATTTGTTTTATTTTTCAAAGTTAGTTTGAAGCATATTTCTGACTTGTAATAGGTCACTGATGGCAACTGCCACTGCTGGCACAAATGAGGGGGTCTCTCAACTCCAGTTTAACTTGTAGAATGCTAAACTCAAGATATCTTTCGCTAGAGTCTATGGAAAGTGTGTGTTGAAAATATCAAGTACTTTGCAGGCTATAAACCAGTGTCAAAATTTGTTATGTATTGTTTTGTGTATTACCTCTTCTCATTTTTTTTTCTTTGGAAAGGGAGGGGGTGGTAGGTGTATTTAGACACATATTCTCAGAGTTTAGTTTTCTTTGTTAATTGGATATGCTAGAGGGAAACTGTTTTGTTTTGTGATTGTTTTTATTTATTTATTTTTTTATTATTATTATTATTTTTTTTTTTTGGGGGGGGGTTAACCCTTGGATTGTGCTGCAATCACTTGGAATTTTAAATTGTTGTTTCATGACTTTTTCCCCTCAAGTCTTACACACATTTTGATACCATTTTCGTCGAAATTGTGTACCTGTATTAGGTGTTACATATCAATTAGTATGGGCATGTCATCAAAAAGTGCTATAATTTATATATTCATATACAAGCCAAAATGGGAATACAGGCTTAGATGTATTTTTTTGTAAGTGGGAGATATGAATTGATAACGTATTGCTTTGATATGTTTCTCAAAGTAACTTGATGTATTCCAAAACAAAAGAATACATTAGAAATAAAACAATAGATATAATAAGAAATAAAAAACAATAACATACCGGTACATAAGAAAATAAAATGATGAATTTCAAACTATTTTTCTTCAGACATGAGCAGTGATATGCAGATGGGAGAAATGTTATTCTACAGTGAAAAAGAGGGTGAAATTATTGTTTTTGGCTTCGCTTACAGTACTAAACATACTTTAAAAAAAATAATGATCATAATTTATGCAAATTTACACAAAAATTTATGCAAAAATAACGAAACTCCATGAATTTGAAATAAAGAAACATTTATTCAATACAATTTTAAGATTCTTCACAAGTCTAAAGACAAAAATGTAGAGTTTTCTGTAAAATGCATAACATTAGCATTTTGCATAATTAATTAGGCTCTAACAACAAGAATTTGCTTATTTGGAAAAAAATAATTGTATCAACTTGTTCCTTACGTGAATATCTACAAACTGCTAAATTTTGTGTACATCGGACATTCGAGGGCCGACATCTTTGGGGAGCTCAAAATAGCCCAATACAGTAAAGGGAAACATAGATTTGTAAGATTGCAAAGGTAAAACTGTGATATCTTTTTATTTTCTAGATGTGCTCCGATCAATCTGCCATGAAACCAGAATACAACTCTGATACGTCTGATTCGATAAACCTCTGCAATCAGACAATCCCTGTGAAGCATACAAGCATCTTCTCAAAGGACAATGCAATGGAAGCCTCTATTATCAATAATAATACAATCCCTCTCAACAGTAAGATGCACGTCAGGATTACCTCTGGCAAACCAACATCGGACAGATCGAATGGATCCGTGAATAACAGGACTGATATAAAGGCTGAAGATGAGAAGACTATGCAAATGGGTTTCAGGAATGAGAAGGGGGAGGAGGGGGAGAAGGAGGAGGGGGAGGAGAAGGGGGAGGCAAAAGACGAGGAGAAGGAGGAAGAGAAGGAGGAAGAGAAGGAGGAAGGAATGACCAAAATAAAGATGAATAACAAAAAGAGGAAAAGTGAGAAGAGCTCCAAGAAAAAGAAGAAGAAGAAGAAGAAGGTCTTGAAGAGCAATGATTCTAGTAAAGCTTTATCTCTTAGCTGGCCTGGTGCTTTAAAGGGTGCGCTCAAGACAGAGAGTCCGAGAAAAGATGGAGAGAAGGAGGAGGATGGCGAGAAGGAGAAGGAGAGTTGCTTGACCGATGGTGAGGAATCAAAGTCTTCAGGACAGAGAAAGTCTAGGAGGTCATGCAAGGGTCAACTTTATCGCAAGCTTGTTGATCAGGTACTGATGGTTTAGAGTTAAAGCTAACCTTAAAGAGAACGTTGAGTTCTGGGAAGAGGAGACAAATAAGTTGTGAGCGTTTCCATTTTTATATGCAAGTGTGGAAGAACATCAGATTAAAAATGTTCCTTGAAAAGCTCTTCAAATGCCTTAATATTCTAAATATGGCATGTAACAACGTAAAATCGGGACAGATTTTTATGCCATATGTTTGTTTAGTCCCATATACATTTTTCTGTGTACAGTGCTTATAACTGTACCTAACTAGACTGGGCCAAATTTCTTATAATTTTGACGATTCCAGAACCTTGCAGTACACATCAATACATATGATAAATGATCAACCTGTAATCGCATGACCAGAACTCAACTATATCTTTAAGCTATGGGGGTGTTTCATAAAACTGTTCGTACAGTTACGCATGACTTTAGAAACGACTTGCATATGAAATGCCAGATAGGACGCTAACATTTTTTCCTGATGCTTGTGTGACTATATTTCCAATAACCTCAATTAAATTATGGCAAAGAAATATACTTTGCATTAAAAAATGAATGTTATTATAAGAATGTTAGTCTACATCTGCACAGTTAAACTTTAGTTGATGCAGTTAATAACGATTGAGCATCCCATTTTGCTTTTCATATATAAGTCATTCATGAAGTCATGCGTAACTTTACGAACAGCTTTATGAAACACCACCCTGGTATGGGAATTTTCACAAAGACTAAGATCGACTTTAAATATGGCAGGCCGTTCATGCCACTTTTTGCTCTCACCAAAGCGGACAAAGTGTTAAAATAGAGAAACAAGATAATAAAAGTGCTATTACCGGTATACAAATAATACACAGGTGTGAGTGCGTTATGGCAATGTGGCACATGAAGGTATTCACTATGGTATGTTGTGCCATTGTGAATACCTGAATAGGGCCGATAACGTCATGAACGAAAACCCATGTATTTGTGGGTCTACTATCGATTCTTAGCAAGGCGATAACACTGTAAACTTGCAACTTGCATAACAAATAATGTGTGTACACAGACGATTGCGGGAGCAGTGGCCTCGTAAACAGACATGCAGTACATTCTTAAACCCATTTTATAATGCTTAATGTTGCATTTGTTAATGATCATGCACAAGTTCATTTAAATTTCTTTCACAACTGAATCCTGTTCAGATGAATATTTTTTTTCTTTTCATTTCCCAGGGAATGCTGGAGTCATTGCAACGGCCTGAGAGACCATTCAACTGCAAGAAAGCTTGGCGTCATAGTAACGAGGGAATGAGTGGTTTCAGCGATGCTGAGGATGAAGTATTCCAACCTGAGGATGGGAAAAAGACTAGAAGGCCAAGGAAAAGAACAAACAGTGGATCTAGTCTTACATGCTCAGACTTGTAAGTAGTATCTCACACACCAAACGAATATACATGTAGTCTATTCTTTTCAGCTCAGTAATATTCTTTTATCTAGGGATAACCTTAGTTTGCAGGCACAAACCCTGGTCGGTCGTAAAAGAGGGTCTGCACTATAAGACTACCATAGGCCATGTACTATCGCTGCTCCTGACACACAAACAGTAGGTATCTGGGATAGGCTTCTCTCAAGGCACAATGATTTTTTGATGAAGTTTCAAATTAGGGTTTGGCTTGCAGACTAGGATAACCTCACCAGTATAAGATAATATTGAGGGTTCAGTGACACAAAGACGTAACTCCATATTGTGCCAAAATGAGTATTTGATATCAAAATGTTTAGGAAAAATGTGGGCTTTCCAGGAAACACAAAGACTTAACTCCACCGAACACCCCATTGAAGTCAATGGCTAGTGAAAAATAGACTTAACTCCTTGATGCCCAAGTGCCCAGTGACACATAAACCACTTTTTCTCAACATGGGCAAAATGGAGTTTTTGTCTTTGTGTCACTAACCCCTCGATATATACATTTTATCTGGCTATTTATTGGCTTAATGTTATTATTTTTATAGAATTTAATATGCAACCATGAATTAAAGGAATGTGTTTGATGATGATGGTGAGGATGGTGGTGGTGGTGGTGGTGGTGATGATGATGATGATGATGATGATGATGATGATGAAGATGATGGTGATGATATGAAGATGATGATGATGATGGTGATGATGATGATGATGGTGGTGATGGTGGTGGTGATGATGATGAGGATGATGATGATGGTGTTGGTGATGATAGTGATGATGATGATGATGGTGGTGGTGATGATGGTGGTGATGATGATGATGATGGTAGTGATGATGATTAGAATGATTTCTTATATATCTGCGTCTATTCTCTTATCATAACAGTGACTATGGTGAGATCAACGTTGAAGCCAGACTAGCCACGCTGCCTCAGTATGCTCCAGAACAATTCAGAACAAAGAAGAACTCTGGCTTGAAGTCTAAGAAGACATCAGACATCTACAAAAATGCTAAGTTTATCAAAGAGAGGGGTAAGTAATTAACCCACATGTTCTAAACTCTGTTAAAGAGTCAAACCTACTTTAGTGAACACTTGTATAGGAAGACCACATGTCAATAAAGACCACATTTTATTTTTGTTTCATTTAAATTCATTGTGATTTCCAATAAAATATAGTTTAAAATAATGTTGTAACATCACAGATATCTCCAATTCCGTTTAACCTCTAGTCAAAACCGGCTTGAAATATAAGAAGACATCAGACATTTACATGAATGCTAAGTATATCAAAGAGAGGAGTAAGCAATTAACTCAGGGTATGCTTCATGCTATGGTTCAAGTTCAAGTTCAAATTTATTTGTTTCACATTTCACAAAAAAGAATTCACATAATTGACAAGATTAGAACATAATATGAAATATACTAAAAGTGTCACATTATATAATTAATTCTTTGAAAAGACATCAAAATTAATTGTATTGAATAGTAGGTTATACAGTGTGAAATGTGAGGAACCTATTAAAAAGCTCAGCTTGCAGATTATAGGTTCCCATAAATAAAACTAACATTTGATTGAATAATAATAATTATCCTTGCTTATATAGTGCCTGACACTTACTTTATCAGAAGTCTCTATAAAGCGATCTACAATAATGCAGCATAATTACCCTGGCTTTAATGGTGAAGGACGTAACAATAATAAAAGGTGGGCAAGAAGGCCTTGACATAAGATGATATACAGCGTGAAACATGCAAAAAATAGCAAAAACAGCAAATACAGCAAACAAATTACTTTGTTACCAAAGAAATGACATAATAATCCTTTAATTATTGAGGTCATTAAACTTCAAATTGAGATTTGAAGGTCCAGGGTTCAAACTGGCAGAGCAAGATATTAATTTTCAGTGCTCCACTCAGGTGATAAATTGGTACTGGTAGAGGAGAATTCTGTGAATGCTGTGAGCACCAAAATTGGTAGCCTAGCTAGAGAACACTTTAGCGTATTGTACACCCAGCGCGGTGGATATGTGCACTACAAAAAAAATATTTCTTATTATTATTTCATTGCTCTATAGATCAAGAATTGTTCTGATAATCGTTCGTTCGTGTCTCTTTAGATCAAGATTAATGTATCTTGATCTTCGGAGTAGTTGCTACAACCGGCTGTGTCAGACACGTTGCCCCGGATGCGAGATAGGACTCTTGTAGCGTGCCCCCATTTAAATCAATTATACAATAACAGTTAACATTACATTTAATTAATAGTATGAGACTATTAAAATTACTCTCATGTTACAGGAAAAAATATTATATATATATATATATTATGAATCAATTGATTTGGTCGATCCAGTTCGATGGCACAAACACGGCACTACTGGACAGAGATCCTAATAATTACAGAGCTTACAGAGCTTACAGAGCTCTGCTAATAAAGAAATACATTTGAACAAACCTAGATGACTGTATTTTTATATTGTTACAGATCACTGATGACAACAATGTGCACAAAAGTCTTGCATGATGTTTTTGAGTCGAACAGTGTTAAATTGAATCTTGTAACAGTCGTTCAAAGTGTTTGACCAAAAAAAGGAACCATGTATATTCATGATATGATTTGCATGAATTATGATAATCCCAGTTTACCCACATCTACTAGACTCTGTTATACAACAAACCTGGTATAGAATGACCATCTGTCAATAAAGACCACATTTTATTTTTGTTTCATTTTAATTCGTCGTGATTTCCAATGAAATATAGTTTAAAGGAATCTGCTTATGAAAAACTAGCTTCCTATAAAGACCATTTTTCTTGTCTTCCTTTAGTTGCCTTTCTATACAGGGGAGTGTTTCACAAAGACTAAGATCGACTTAAGTTGGACTTGAATTATGGCAGGCCATTCATTCCACTGGTTGCTCTCACTCACCATTGGTCTCTCAATAATGATCTTTAGATAATATCTTTTCATTCAATAATGAACAAAAGATGTAAATTTTGTAGATTTGTGACCACGATTCATACGTCCCTTGAGAAACCAATGCCAGGAATGATTAAGAGGAAATATTGGCATCAGCGGCCTGCCATAGTTCAAGTCATAACTTAAGTTGATCTTAGTCTTTGTGAAACACAAAGGAGGCGCGATAGCTCAGTCGGTAGAGCAGTGGTCTTGTAATTCGGTGACCCGGGGTTTGAAACCAAGGTGATGCGCTAATGCCCTTTGGTAAGGCATTAATCCTCATTACCAGGTCCCTCGGAGAGGACCTAAAGCCGTCGACTATGTGGTTGCTTACTTAAAAGCATTTATGCTTTCTTAGCAGACAGGTAAAATAACCACCACCACCAACACTCCCCAGGGGGGTGTTTCACAAAGATCCTAAGTAGAACTTAACTCTAAGTTGGACTTAAAAATTATGGACAGCCATTGGAGTCTTAAAATGAAATATATATTCAAAAGCAGAAATTCAAGTATTTTTGACTTTTTATAAATTCCACATCCAGAACATGAAACCTCCTTGATAATAGAAAATATAAATGATTTGAATCAACATTTTATGCCTTATAAAATAACTTTTACGAATATTTTCAATGATGCTAACGGCTTTCCATAATCATTAAGTCCAACTTAGGATCTTTTTGAAACAACCCGAGATCTCAATATATTTGGATTGTCAAGTGTGTAATGTATGTAAATCTCACTTTTTAGAGTTATGTTTGTTTTGATTTGAAGGAAAGAGTAAAGTGATGAGGTCGTTGTCTTCCACTGAGATGACCATCAGCGGTAGCGGGAAGAGAAAGGCAAGGAAATCATCCATCATGCACCTCCTTCCAACTAAAGGTTTGTATCCTGAAAAGGTCGAGTTCTGCTAAAAAGGGAAAAAATTACTTGGCTTTATCATTATCATTGACATCATTATCATCATTTACTAAACTCATCAATTTCTGTCTTACGATCTCCTTCCAACTAAAGGTCTGTATCCTGAAAAGGTTGAGTTCTGTTAAAAAGGGAAACAACTACTTAGCTTTATCATTATCATCATTTACTAAACTCATCAATTTCTTTCTTACGATCTCCTTCCAACTAAAGGTCTGTATCCTGAAAAGGTTGAGTTCTGTTAAAAAGGGAAACAATTATTAGCTTTATCATTATCATTAACATCATTATCATCATTTACTAAACTCATCAATTTCTGTCTTACGATCTCCTTCCAACTAAAGGTCTGTATCCTGAAAAGGTTGAGTTCTGTTAAAAAGGGAAACAACTACTTAGCTTTATCATTATCATCATTTACTAAACTCATCAATTTCTTTCTTACGATCTCCTTCCAACTAAAGGTCTGTATCCTGAAAAGGTTGAGTTCTGTTAAAAAGGGAAACAATTATTAGCTTTATCATTATCATTAACATCATTATCATCATTTACTAAACTCATCAATTTCTGTCTTACGATCTCCTTCCAACTAAAGGTCTGTATCCTGAAAAGGTTGAGTTCTGTTAAAAAGGGAAACAATTATTAGCTTTATCATTATCATTAACATCATTATCATCATTTACTAAACTCATCAATTTCTGTCTTACGATCTCCTTCCAACTAAAGGTCTGTATCCTGAAAAGGTTGAGTTCTGTTAAAAAGGGAAACAACTACTTAGCTTTATCATTATCATCATTTACTAAACTCATCAATTTCTTTCTTACGATCTCCTTCCAACTAAAGGTCTGTATCCTGAAAAGGTTGAGTTCTGTTAAAAAGGGAAACAATTATTAGCTTTATCATTATCATTAACATCATTATCATCATTTACTAAACTCATCAATTTCTGTCTTACGATCTCCTTCCAACTAAAGGTCTGTATCCTGAAAAGGTTGAGTTCTGTTAAAAAGGGAAACAACTACTTAGCTTTATCATTATCATTGACATTATTATCATCATTTAGTAAAGTCATCAATTTTTCTCTTACGATCTCCTTCCAACTAAAGGTTTGTATTCTTAAAAGGTCAAGTTCTGCTAAAAAATGTTGCCAAACGGATTTCATAACACTACAGTCTATTGGGGAAAACGAGTATGGTAAAACCGGTCACTCACAGATTTTTACTTTTTTGAGGGACTTCTTGATAATTTTGAAGCATGTTTTTTTTTAGGGCTTCAATATTACACCATATCCCACACCCTGATATTAACACGTAGGGCTGTGCATCTCAGATTTGACATTGTTAAACAATGCCTTTAAGGTAAAGAAATCTGATGAACAGTATTTTAGTGCCCACCCAAACTGTACATGACCTTTAAGCTAAGTATAGGATCCTTCCGTGCATAACTAGTATCCCACATCATCGTTAATCATCCTCAAATGAATAAAGTTTCTAAGAAGAGGTTATTTTTTCTTTCTCGTAGATTCTCTCAGCACTACCGGCCCAATGCAGTCATCACCATCAGCTCACACAGATGACATAGTAATAGGATCTAAGGTCAAGAGGTCAAAGAGTGACCCCCAACCCTTCACCCTATCTGACCTTGCAGAGGTCGCTTCCATGGAGCTCAAACCATGCAGGTAAAGGTCACCTTGAGGCTCGTTCAGATATGACATAGTAATAGGGTCTAATGTCAAGAGGTCAAAGAGTGACCCCCAACCCTTCACCCTATCTGACCTTGCAGAGGTCGCTTCCATGGAGCTCAAACCATGCAGGTAAAGGTCACCTTGAGGCTCGTTCAGATATGACATACATGTAGTAATAGGGTCTAATGTCAAGAGGTCAAAGAGTGACCCCCAACCCTTCACCCTGTCTGACCTTGCAGAGGTCGCTTCCATGGAGCTCAAACCATGCAGGTAAAGGTCACCTTGATGCCCGTTAAGATATGACATAGTAATAGGATCTAATGTCAAGAGGTCAAAGAGTGACCCCCAACCCTTCACCCTATCTGACCTTGCAGAGGTCGCTTCCATGGAGCTCAAACCATGCAGGTAAAGGTCACCTTGAGGCTCGTTCAGATATGACATAGTAATAGGGTCTAATGTCAAGAGGTCAAAGAGTGACCCCCAACCCTTCACCCTGTCTGACCTTGCAGAGGTCGCTTCCATGGAGCTCAAACCATGCAGGTAAAGGTCACCTTGAGGCTCGTTCAGATATGACATACATGTAGTAATAGGGTCTAATGTCAAGAGGTCAAAGAGTGACCCCCAACCCTTCACCCTGTCTGACCTTGCAGAGGTCGCTTCCATGGAGCTCAAACCATGCAGGTAAAGGTCACCTTGATGCCCGTTCAGATATGACATAGTAATAGGATCTAATGTCAAGAGGTCAAAGAGTGACCCCCAACCCTTCACCATATCTGACCTTGCAGAGGTCGCTTCCATGGAGCTCAAACCATGCAGGTAAAGGTCACCTTGAGGCTCGTTCAGATATGACATAGTAATAGGATCTAATGTCAAGAGGTCAAAGAGTGACCCCCAACCCTTCACCCTATCTGACCTTGCGGAGGTCGCTTCCATGGAGCTCAAACCATGCAGGTAAAGGTCACCTTGAGGCTCGTTCAGATATGACGCCGTAACACACAGCAATCAAGTACCATGTGTTTGTAATGTGTTTATGGGTGGCAATTGTGCCCAACAAAGGTCCAATGCATATTCAGTTAGCTCTGTATTATAATGTGCAGAATTGTGAAGTGTATTATTATACAAAATAATGCACTGCAGTGTGGGCATTAGTAAGAATTACCCACACAAGGTACCTTTTGAACAGTCTAACATGCCTGAGGTGATAGCCAAGGGTGTTTCGACTGTTTTGAAGGTATCAAGTGTGGGTAATTTGACTTATGCTCGAACAAAATGCTGTGTATTATTTGTTTTATAAGATTAGGTTTTATTTGTTTTATAAAATGATGATTTATAACATCATTTGGATAATGACTGGTTATTAGAATTGGATAATGACTGGTCATTATCCAAATTACGCGTTAGGCAAAAATAAATGCCTGGTCACGTGTATGCTTTCAACCAATCATTTGATTAGGATCCAAGTCATTATCTTATAACCTATAATAATGTAAGAAATGCTGTGGTTAACTGCATCCTATCTGCTTAATGCTTTGGTCTTTGAAAACAAGCTTAGATGATTTATTCCCTGGGAAGTTCACTCACAATTATATTTTTGAGGATTGATTCCTACTTTTATGGACTTTAAATTCTTATTTTTGACAAATCTGTATAAAAGCACGTAATGTACACTTTATTCCAAATTTTGCCTGAGGAGATTTCAACTTTTTGCATGAGAATCTCCTTGACAGGCAATGCAACATAATTTGTACCCTGACTCTTCCAAATTCTGCTGAAAATGGGATCGTTTAAGATCAATAAACACATTTTATTTACTAACCCAGGATAGTTAGGAGGAGACATTTAGCTAAAACATCTTTGAAATCAAATATTAAGGGTGCTTTTTGGAGTACACAATCCGCTATCTGAAAGATTCTTTTACAGTTTGTTTCTTGAAAAGAAGGAAGTCCAGAGTATTTTACAAAGGAGCTTCTTAAAAAACGGTACATGCAGAAACTGTTTTTTAAACAGTAAATGATTCTTGTTTTGTAGTTTACCTTGGCTTATTCCCACTGTAGTTTGCAATGTACTGTACATGCAGATATTTGAATGACATTTTCCAGAAATATTGTAAATAATGAACTAAAGGCTCTCAAAGCAATTCATTTCAACTATGCAGTGATTTATCTTGCTACCTATTATAGCAGTAAAAATCACAATAGAATTATACATGTACATGCAATTTTGAACTGTCTAGATAAATCAACTTATCAACTCAAAACAAGACAAATCTTGCTTTCACTCCAAAAATTCATTGCTTGCAACTCTTTATGCTGTGTTGTGTCCCATTGAAAACCATTCAATACTTGCAAGTAATAGAAAGGAGTATGTAAATCATATGGAAGGTATTGAAAAAAATATTTTGTCACACTGAAAATTTTGTTCAATTTTTTATTTGTTTTGCTACAGCTCTGCAAGCACAACATGTACTCCTGGTTCTCACATTGAGAGACCCAACCTCTGTCTTTCGGCAGTCACAGTCTCCTAACTCAACGTCACAATGACAGCATCACTGTCACAGTCTCCTAACTCAACGTCACAATGACAGCATCACTGTCACAGTCTCCTAGCTCAACGTCACAATGACAGCGTCAATGTCACAGTCTCCTGACTCAACGTAACAATGACAGCGTCAATGTCACAGTCTCCTGACTCAACGTCACAATGACAGCGTCAATGTCACAGTCTCCTAACTCAACGTCACAATGACAGCGTCAATGTCACAGTCTCCTAACTCAACGTCACAATGACAGCGTCAATGTCACAGTCTCCTGACTGAACGTCACAATGACAGCGTCAATGTCACAGTCTCCTGACTCAACGTCACAATGACAGCGTCACTGTCACAGTCTCCTAACCCAACGTAACAATGACAGCGTCAATGTCACAGTCTCCTAACCCAACGTAACAATGACAGCGTCAATGTCACAGTCTCCTGACCCAACGTAACAATGACAGCGTCAATGTCACAGTCTCCTAACCCAACGTAACAATGACAGCGTCAATGTCACAGTCTCCTAACTCAACGTCACAATGACAGCGTCACTGTCACAGTCTCCTAGCACAACGTCACAATGACAGCGTCAATGTCACAGTCTCCTGACTCAACGTCACAATGACAGCGTCACTGTCACAGTCTCCTAACCCAACGTAACAATGACAGCGTCAATGTCACAGTCTCCTAACCCAACGTAACAATGACAGCGTCAATGTCACAGTCTCCTGACCCAACGTAACAATGACAGCGTCAATGTCACAGTCTCCTGACCCAACGTAACAATGACAGCGTCAATGTCACAGTCTCCTAACCCAACGTCACAATGACAGCGTGAATGTCACAGTCTCCTGACCCAACGTCACAATGACAGCGTCAATGTCACAGTCTCCTAATTCAACGTCACAATGACAGCGTCATTGTCACGGTGAAAAGATTCTGCCCAGGTTCACGCTGTAAGATTATGAAAACAACACAGATGTGGAGATCAGGTGCAGATGCTTTATTATAGTTTGTGTGGTTTCCAACTGGAGTAAAGATCAGTCTTAGGCCTAAAAAAAAAAAATTGATGACTTGGCGTAACCCGCCCGACCCTATTTTTATCGCCGACCCTACGCTTTTTTTTTTTTTTTTTTTTTTTTAATTTTTTGATTTTTTAATTTTTTTTTTAATTTTTTTTTTGTTGTTGTTGATTTTTTGTTTGTTTGTTTTTTTGATAAAGGATTCTGAAATACTGGAGACATTTTTTAACTGTTTGTTATTACAGAGCCATTCACAATTGTAAATATTTTCACAAGTTGTAATTGGCTACTCTTTTCAACCCTCATTCTTCAAGATTTTGGATACATGTTAACATGTTAACATGTTAACCTCTAGACAAGTTATAAAAATGCTAGTCAATACATTGTGAAAATACTAATATTTGTGAACAGCCCCTTCTAAACCTACATATTCACCTGTTTATCATGTTGAAGACAGTGTCTGAGATATCTCAGGCTGGGGTCTGATGGAAACCTATTAATGCGTTCGTATGTTTGCATTTTATGTGCATGAGGGTGTATGTACATGTACATGTATGTATGCAGGGGGGGGGGGGGGCAGGTGTATGTATGCATCCCCCAGGTCCCAAGGTGATCAAGATTTCAACAATTTCTTGCTCACTTTGCTCACACAGTGTGTGTGTCCATGTGTGTGTGTGTGTGTGCGTGGAGTTATTTGAACATATTGTGGTCTACCCCTCTCATCAGATCATCCCCAAGGTCTGAGGACCTATCTACGCCACTGTATGTATGTATGTGTATAAATGGCTAATTTCATGTATGCAAATATAAGCAACAAAAAAAAAAAAAAAAAAAAAAAAAAAAATCGCCCTACCTACCCTAATTTTCAGTGACCCGTTACGCCAAGTCATCAATTTTTTTTTTTAGGCCTTACGGGAAGACTAGTAGATAGCCAATCAAATACCGGTATGTTATCATCTGCTAGTAGTTCTTTGAAACCTTCCAAACCATTGGAAGCCTGATGAATGTTGCATCTGAAGACAAAATGATTGATTCCTCAAAGACACTCATGTCCTCTCGTTTTTGTTGTGACAAATGAGAAGCACTGGAATGGATAAATTACACCTCAGTATAAAGAGCTCTGATGTCTTAATAATAATAATAATAATAATAATAATAATAATCTTTTAAAGTCCACTCCAAATTTTATTAAACCGAAAATGGAAATTCTTTTTGCCTAATTGATCGTGGGCCCGGCAGCCACTGAGTAGTGCCAGATCGACGTTGCTATATCCCTTATTGTTGGAACGCCAAACAAGGTAGCAGCTACTCCTGTCTTTTAACGCCTTTTGGTATGACGCGGCCGAGGTTCGAACCCACGACCTCCCGGTTGTGAGGTGGACGCTCTACTGACTGAGCCAACACACCGGTATTGAGCCAACACACAGGTATCTGTTATAACAAGGTGATTTTGCTAGTCCCAGCTCTGTATATTCTTTTGTTTTTTTACCCTGATATAATAATATTCCTGATATAACAAGGTAATTTCCTTGGTCCCAAGGGCCTTGTTATAATGAGTTTCCACCGTACAATTTTGTTGTGAGTAATATACAATGGTAAGGACATGAAAGTGAATGCCGCAGTTGAGCCTCACTCAAACATGACACTGTAAACAAAGCCTCAATTATTGCCCTCAAAACCTGGAACTTTTTACTCCTTGTATTAAAGGATTTCCAATACTCTCACAGCATTCAAGAAGTGTCTGAAAATATATCTTTTCTATTAAGTAATATACCTCTTTATTTGTAAATAATGTAAAGGTTTATATGATACTGTTTTATTTCTTTCTTTGTTTTTGTTGGTATTTTTGTTTCATGTGCTTTGAATCTTATGAAAAGGGGCTTTAAAAGTTGAACATTAATTAGTAACAAAAACGACAGTGGCACAGTAAAACCATTTTATGTTTTTAAATGATTGGTTTTTAAAGCAGGAATACAAAAATAAGTTAGCTTTATATGCAACAAAGGCTCCAAAGCAATCGGATACACAGACCTGCTATGGATAGGACATGTGTTTTGTTTTGGCTGGTGTAAAGATAAGTCCCCCATCATGTTACAGTGAATGAGGGCTATAATGTGGTTATGTATTGATGTATTTTCATAAAACCACAATCTCAATTTGTCATTGTTGTTTATCTAAGATGTAGAAACCTCATAAGTTTATCTTGCCAATGTAATAATTTCTGGGATATATTGCCATTTTATTTGTGAATTTGAAATCAGCCAGCGGTGTTATTAGTTTCTTATCTCCACAATTATTGTCGCCTAAAGAGCAATAGATTCCATTGTTCAAATCTTCTTTCAGAAGTTAAATTCTTTGACTTCATCTTGAAAGATTAGGTGTGCTCCAAATATGGTGAAAGGGCCTGTACGAATGCATTTTTAGAGAGACACGTAGAGAGGTATTTATTTTATTGCCATACTCTTAATGTGGTGATGAAGAATAGGAATTGGAAAACTGTTTTTGAGATTACTTTCTTTCCGAGAAGTGATGTAGATCCCATTCATTTTTGTGTTTTTTTCATTCATGGCGAACGAAAGAATGAAAAGGGTCTACATCATTCCATATTAAAATATTATGTCTTAAAGACTTTCCAGATCTTTTGTTTGTATTTACCGTAACTATTCCTATTTACTCTGTTTTTACAAAACAAATTTCCATTTTACTTGTATAGACTGTATATATTTATATGAACTGAAATGACTTCTTTTCACTGCATTGCACCATCGTTGAATTAATGTGCCATAGACTAGCAATAAGATAACGTTATATATGTAGCAGAGCTGGGGGGTGTTTCACAAAGATCCTAAGTTGGACTTAACATTTATGGAAAGCCATTAGCATCTTTGAAAATATTTTATAAAAGTTATTTTAAAAGGCATGACAAGTTGATTCAAATCATTCATATCTTCTATTATCAAGGAGATTTCATGTTCTTGATGTGGAATTTATAAAAAGTCTAAAATACTTGAATTTTCGCATATATTTCAAATATATTTTATTTTAAGGCTACAAATGGCTCTCCATAATTTTTAAGTCCAACTTAGAGTTAAGTTCAACTTAGGATCTTTGTGAAACACCCCCCTGAAGGAATATCAATATTTTTGTACAGATATCATATCTCACTTGTACACAAAGAGAGAAATAGGTATTTTGACATATGAAATATTTGTATTTGACAAAAATATTCAATAATAGTTTGAATATTATAACTGAATAGAATATCTGGTGGTGTTCATCTACTTCATTAGGACAGTTTGATGGTAACAGCATGATGCAAATAAACTATGTAGGATATATTTGACTTTGTCAGAAAAAAAAAAAAAATCAAATCCATAAGCCCAAATTCACAAAGGAGGTTTTCAACAAACCTAAGTTTATGTGCGTCATATGACCAAGGTTTGTAAAAACGTGTCAAAACGCATTTGTCGACAAACCTCCTTTGTGAATTAGGGCCAAATGTTGATTAGAATGAAATAGCCATTGGTTAATACCATAATATTCCGCTGTTATGTAGCGCTTAATACATCAACAATGCCTCTTAGTGCTTAACAGATATATATTTTTACCACTGTCATTGGATTCAGGCTTGCCCGCACACAATGTATGCACATTCTCCACTCCCTGGGGAGCATTCCAGCCAGGTGTCATGTTACAGACACTCACAGTGCTGAGCAAACTACATTATCTGTCATATCCTCCCGAGTACCCATTTAACACCTGGATGGAGAGTGGCAAATGTAGATAAACGTCTTGCCAAAGGACATTAGTGTTGGGTTTGAATTTGAACCCGGTACCTTGTGATCTGCAGTCTGGTGACTTATCCACTAGACCACAACACCTCAAAGCATTAAATATGTTGTCTTCATAGCTGCCATATTATTTAGGTTTAAATCATTATTTTATGCAGTATTGGAATGTCAGTTCAATTATTCATTTCAAAGCTCCTAAGGGTGGTATTCTCGAAAGCAGACTAACTTTAGTCCATGATTAATCCATCCACCAACTAAGTATGGAATGCCAAGTGTCCATATGAATATGTTTTAGAATTTATTTTGAACTGTCACTAATTAAAATAAAATGTAATAACATAATTAATAAACAACAATATAACTATGATATAATTATGTTATTGTAATTTAGGGACATTGGTATAACATACCTAGTCTGTGGATTAAAGCTTATCTGCCGTAGTTTACAGGAGGGATTAGACTGCTCTGCAAGGTCACTGGACAGGTGGTTATCTCATCAACTCAGCTCTCAGTTAACATAAGAAAAAGAGGATCATGGGGGACCAATGGTCACCGATTAGGCATTGTTTGTTATATAGAGGGCGCAAGCAGCTACCAGTAGTGCAGTGGACCTTCAAACCATGGACTAAAGTTAGTCCGCCTTCGAGAATACCACCCTAAGTGTTGATAATGATCAACACAGTAAAAAGATAATTTAGTATTTATCTATAAAGAAATTGATTACCCTGTGTGGTATGAGGTAATTTATCATAAATACTTCTTAGTTTGCAAGCATGATACTCTTGTCACTGGCTGGTAAATGCCATTCTCTTTTGAAGCTTAAAAAGACATTTAGTTATGGAAGCCAATATTCTGGGACAGTTGTAATGGTGTTCTAAATTCATATTATAAAGTAATTTGGACTTGTTTTAAATGTTTGTTTTGTAATCATCAAGTATGTCCACCAAGTTTCGTTGTTTCAATGATCTTAGAATTAGATAATGAAAGTTGTTGTAGAAGTGATACAAGATATGTGTCCTTATATAAAGCCTTCTGCATACTATATGCCCCATATTTGAACAAATTTGGATAGGAAACTTGTATCCGTGTTTAAATTAAAAAAAAAATTGAAATCTGATGATTGGTGTAGACGGAAAGTTAAATTGTCAGGCAATGTAAACCTTTAGCTTCAAATCAGGGACAGTCGTGCATGATGACCTCACAATAAGACAACATTTGCCTTGGTCTTTTTGTCACCAGAGAAAGAGGGTTAGGCTTCAGGGTTGCAATTAGGTCACCATGTTTTTTTTAAAAGTGGAGCTGAATTGGTATAATCGTATTGGCTACATACATTTCACACATTTTGGGGTCTAAAATTACCTTCATAGCAATTTTAGGTTCTAAAAGGGCACAACAAATGTCATAGATAAGAATAAGAGCAATAATCATGCACTTTGAAGGCATTTGAGGTCTGAAAACAGAACTCATCTATCCCTTTAAGGTAAAATGACCAAAAAAGCGAGGCCGATCGAGTTTGCCCGAAGTCCGAGTTAGCCCAGATTCTTTTAATGCTATTCATGCAGTAGAATTGATGTATTAGGTTGCTTTGTATGATTATTTTTCAACCCAGCTCTTTGTGCCTTGTGCCAAATTTGTAAAGAAAGAAAGAAAGGAAAATGAAAAATATAAGTGCACATATATGTACTCACTATCTTTTCAACTCATCTAGCAAAGAGTTTTGATGACTGAAATATTTATTTTATTTATTTATGCTGGTCAGTATTTAGTCTCTGTCACTTTTATTTTGGCAGTAAATTGCCAAGATTTGAACATTATTCTTTGCTTGCCCTGTAATGCTATATGTGATTTCCTTGTGTGCTGCATTAATAGTTTCTTCTTCACTTTGTCTTCATTCTTTCATACATCTTGTTTTTTTAATCTATATTTCAGAATACATATTAAAGCTAATCTTGAGCTCTGGTATGGGAGTCGTATGTCGAGAGAACTTGGCTATAATTAATTCTGGATTGTTTATCCTGCAGTAGATTGATTGTTTGAACCAGTTAAATAGAAACACACTTGCTGCAAATCATCTTCTTTAAAAACCACAACTCTCATTTGCACTTAGTTACCTGTGTTGTATATAAGCACATGGTTTCAGGCCCTAATTATCTTGGTTTCCTCATCTTTGTTTGCTCATTCCTCGGCCTCTATACATTTCTGCCAAAATTGTTTGGCACATGTCATTTATTTGTAATCTTAAACATTCAGTGTCAGTTTTGTTGGATTCTGAGAGAATTTATTTTCTATCATTACCAGCATCTCTAGAGATGGATATGTTGCGCTTTATAAATATTGTTATTATTATTATTATTATTATTTATTCAGATGGTCATATCTCGGCCAATACTTAACATATTCAA